TGAGATAGTGAAAAAATAATACACAATAGCGGACTGTAAAATTACATAAGAGTTTATTAGTAAGGTTCCAAGACTGTAAGAGTATAGAGTTTCTTCTCCAAAATGTATTCGGAAGCTGAAGTAGTGAGGAACAATTGCCTTGGCAACTGCTCAAAAAGAGGTTGTCTTTCTGGGGCTGCTCTCACTCTTCCTTCTGGTCGGAAGATAACAAATGGAAAGGAGACGACTTGTTCAGATAAATCTTAAGAGGACAGAAAAGTACAAGACCACCGTTTTGTGGGAATTAACATAACTGCAGATCAAAATGCTTTCTAAATTTGATAAATGCATGTCAATGCTGTTTTATAGAGTTTTAAAGGTAAATTATGAGAGAAATCAAGGAAGCCATCAGTCCGCTGGTTGGAAATGATAGTGAAGTGGTGATGGGCAAAAAGCAGGAAACGTGAAGAGCGTAATTCCCTTTTTGCATTCCTGTTTCCACAGCATTTGGGGGGGGAGAAATGCAAGTCAAAATAGGCAACAGAAATCCTGGCTGCTCTGAATGAATTCAAATATTTGGGACGAAGATTATTCTGAAGCTACTTCCATGGATTTATATAGTTCCTTCTGTGGGCATCATTTCATGGGAATTATGGTGTCCTTCCCAAGTTTAGCTTTTCCACTCTTTGCATTTACATGATTTCTCCTGTGTGGATCCTTTAATGATGAGTCAAAAGAGTTTCTACTGGAGGTTTCTTCCCTAGGTGGATCCTTTAATGATGAGTAAAATGTTCTTTCCCAGTAAAAATTATATCCACACTCCTTGCAATATATAGCTTTTCCCGAGTGTGGATTCTTTCATGAGTAAATGTGATTGTTAAGGAATTTATACGGTCTCTATTCTCTGTGGATTCTTTTATGAGCATTAAGTTGTGCTTTTTGAGCAAAGCTTTTTCCACATTCTGTGCATTTATAGGGTGTTTCCCCTGTATGGATTCTTTCATGATTAATAAGATAAATTTTCCGAGTAAATTGCTTTCCACACTCCATGCACTTGTATGGTCTCTCCCCAGTGTGGATCCTTTGGTGACAAATAAGATCGCTGTTCCAATGAAAGCTTTTTCCACACTCCATGCATTTATACGGTCTATCCTGCGTGTGCCTCTTTTGGTGGGAAACAAGGTGCCATTTGTCTATAAAGCTCTTTCCACACTCCATGCATTTATATGGTCTCTCCCCAGTGTGGATCCTTTGGTGATGAATAAGTTCTCTGCTGGAATAAAAACTTTTTACACACTCCAAGCATTTATACGATCTCTGCCCTGTGTGTATTCGCTCATGAAAAATAAGTTGACTTTTCTGAGCGAAGCACTTTCCACATTCTGTGCATTTATTTTCCCTTGTATGGATTTTTTCATGTTGATTAAGAAAACGTTTCTGAGTAAATTGCTTTCCACACTCCATGCACTTGTATGGTCTCTCCCCAGTGTGGATCCTTTCATGACAAATAAGATCGCTGTTCCAATGAAAGGTTTTTCCACACTCCAAGCATTTATACAATATCTGCCCTGTGTGGATTCTAACATGAACTTTAAGTTGTCTTTTCTGAGTAAAGCTCTTTCCACATTCTGTACATTGAAATGGTTTCTCCCCTGAATGGATTGTCTGATGAATTTTAAGTTGGCTTTTCTGAGCAAAGCTCTTTCCACATTCTGTACATTGAAATGGTTTCTCCCCTGAATGGATTGTCTGATGAAATTTAAGTCGGCATTTCCGAGCAAAGCTCTTTCCACATTCTGTACATTTAAATGGTTTCTCCCCTGAATGGATTGTCTGATGAATTTTAAGTTGGCTTTTGTGAGCAAAACTCTTTCCACATTCTGTACATTGAAATGGTTTCTCTCCTGTATGGATTGTCTGATGAAATTTAAGTTGTCCTTTCTGAGCGAAGCTCTTTCCACATTCTGTACATGGAAATGGTTTTTCTCCTGTATGGATTCTTTCATGGCTAATAAGACCACTTTTCTTAATAAACGCATTTCCACATGGTATACATTTATATGGTCTCTCCCCAGTGTGGATCCTTTCGTGACAAATAAGATCTTTGTTTCCATCAAAGCTTTTTCCACACTCCAAATATTTATACGATCTCTGCCCTGTGTGGATTCTAACATGAACACTAAGTTGCCTTTTCTGAGTGAAGCTCTTTCCACATTCTGTACATTGAAATGGTTTCTCTCCTGTATGGATTCTTTCATGACTAATAAGACCACTTTTCTGAGTAAACGCATTTCCACATTGTATACATTTATATGGTCTCTCCCCAGTGTGGATCCTTTCATGACAAATAAGATCTATGTTTCCATGAAAGCTTTCTCCACACTCCAGGCATTTATATGGTTTGTCCCCTTTGTGAATCCTTTGAAGGGAAGTAATATCAGTGCTCTCAGTGAATTTCCTATGTAGTATTTTAGATGAAGTAAAAGATATGGAATGGTTCTTTGCAGACATTGCACTTTGTAATGTCAATGACCTCAGCTGCTTGTCATTCTCATTCTCCAGCCCATCACCATCACCTGGTTTGGAAAAAAAAAACCACAGAAATTCTCATTAGAATTCAAAATGATTAGGAATGGAGGAGGGTTGTCTCTCCCTGTCAATAATATGCCCATCTGAGTATCAGGTTGGGTATCAGCCATGTGTTAAAACTAGGAGATGTTGGGTTGAAATTGTTATCTAGGTCCTAAGATACTTTAATGGTATCCACAAGATTTTTCAGCCCTGAACCAGATTAAGGTTTTGCTGCTGATAGGTCAATCTGCCCAGGCATTTCTGTGGAGTATGTAAGGCAGACATGTCAAACTCACGACATCATGTTACATCGTGAGACGTATCGGGACAGTTTTGCCATTGCCGGCAATGGGGTGGGCGTGGCTGCCGGATGACGCGTCCGGTCCATGGGCTGGCAGTTTGACACTCCTGATCTAAGGCCTTTCACAAAACTATGGTGAGCATTTCTGCCAAGGCCTTAGTTGTTTTCTAGAAGAGTGGCTGTAATGACAACTTTAGACAAAATTGCCCATGACGTAGCTCAGCTGGTTTGTGATCCAGGGGAGCCTGGCTATTAAAGAGAATCAAAGCGTAGTGTATGGAACTCTTTGCACCTGTGGCTGTCTGCTGGATATTAGTTACATACTATACATTGGTGGCCTTATCTTTGGTCAGGTCACAATCTTGTGTCAATGAGTTTCTCAAGAGCTGTACCCCCCCTCCCCTGCATGGAGGCAGGACCTATTGAACTGGTCTGCCAGCGGCGACTAATGGACCCAAATTTGTTGCAGAAAGAACTGGGGGTTATAACTGCTGATCTACTGCAACTTGCAGTCGAGCTCTTAATCACTGTTTGGAATAGGAAGGTGACTGAGGCAACCTCTGCTCACTCATAGACATCTCTGTCTTCCATGGTATAAAGAGGAACTGAGAGGGATGAAACAGATGAAGAGATGTCTACAGCGCCGCTGGTGAAAGACAAGGATGAACTTGATTGAACACAGGTAAAATCTGCTATTAAGGTCTACCTCGTGCCGATATGTGCAGTGAAGAGTAAATACTTCGCCGGACTAATTGTATATGCAGATAATCGATCAGCGACACTCTTTAACATGAGCCGTATCCGCCTGGGGAAGTATATGGGAGTCTTTGCACCTGTGGCTGTCCACTGCATATTAGCTACATACTACACATTCTGATCCCAATTTTCCTGAGATTAGGAGAGGTTTTACAGGTGGTGGCCAGGTACAGTTCTGACTTCTTTAAATATCTGAGTGCAGGTATCTTCCCTGTTTATCTGCCACTGAAAACCTTTCCCAATAAACTGAACCCAGAGTAAAGAAGCTCCTTACCCAGAACGGCCACATCCCTAGAAACCTCCAGCATGACTTCCATGCACAAGGCCTTCTGGGCAGAATCCAGCAGTGACCACTCCCCCTCTGTGAAGTCCACAGCGACCTCCTCAAAGGGATCTTTGTCCTAGAAAGAAAAAGAAAATCTTTCCCATCAAACAGTTCTCTCTTAGGTTTTCTTTCTTACTTCCAATCAGGGTGGAGAATGATCAATGATTTTTAAAAAAATAATAAAAAAATGGATTTTTTTTATTTAAATCGGATTTTTTTTATTAAATTTATTTTAATAAAATGCTTTTGGAGTAAAAATCTATCTAAGTATAGTTTTCTATTTAAGATACATTAATAATTTTTTTTATTCAGCATGAAATGGAGCTTAGTTATGTAGCATGAGGCTGTATATTCTGCAATATTTACATTTTTGGTATCCAAGTTCTATAACCTGAGATAACATGCACTGCATTGATGCATTCACACAATTTCATAGTAACCATGAGATCAATCATAAAACAAAGTTCAAGAATATTCCTTTATCCCATTGTTTTGCAAATCTCTATACACTACAAACTGTATGATATAATAATAATAATAGTAATAATAGTAATAATAGTAATAATAGTAATAATAGTAATAATAATAATAATAATAATAATAATAAAGTTGGAAGGGACCTTGGAGGTCATTGAGTCCAACCCCCTGCTCAGGCAGGCAGGAAACCCTACACCATTTCAGACAGATGGTTGTCCAATCTCTTCTTAAAAACTTCCAGTGTTGGAGCATTCATCGCTTCTGGAGGCAGGTTGTTCCACTGGTTAATTGTTCTAACTGTCAGGAAGTTTCTCCTTAGTTCTAGGTTGCTTCTCTCCTTAATTAGTTTCCATCTGTTGCTTCTTGTCCTGCCCTCAGGCGCTTTAGAGAATAGCCTGACTCCCTCTTCTTTGTGGCAGCCCCTGAGATATTGGAACACTATCATGTCCCCCCTCGTCCTTCTCTTCGTTAAACTAGACATACCCAATTCCAGCAACCGTTCCTTATATGTTTTAGCCTCCAGTCCCCTAATCATCTTTGTTGCTCTTCTCTGCACTCTTTCTAGAGTCTCAACATCTTTTTTACATCATGGTGACCAAAACTGGATGCAGTATTCCAAGTGTGGCCTTACCAAGGCATTATAAAGTGGTATTAATACTTCACGTGATCTTGATTCTATCCCTCTGTTAATGCAGCCCAGCACTGAGTTGGCTTTTTTGGCAGCTGCAGCACACTGCTGGCTCATATTGAAGTGATTGTCCACTAGGACTCCGAGATCCCTCTCACAGTTACTACTATTGAGTAAGGTACCCCCTATACTATACCTGTACATTTGGTTTTTCTTGCCTAAATGTAGAACCTTACTTTTTTCACCATTGAATTTCATTTTGTTAGATAGCGCCCAGTGTTCAAGTCTGTCCAGGTCCTCCTGTATCTTAAGCCTGTCTTCTGGAGTGTTGGCTATTCCTGCCAGCTTGGTGTCATCCGCAAATTTGATGAGTT